TCGGGAGTGCTTGGCCCTCTCCTTGTCTTTGTACAAGAGCAGCGAGTTGGGCCGATCAGGCGTTCCCTGACTGTGCCTGAAATTCCCAATGCCTGGAGCCACACCTGCCTGGTGAATGTTGGAACTGTACAGTCTGGGAGGTACTGGAATTGTATAGTTTCTGTCTTAATATCAGAATTGCATCATGTGGATTGCAACCAGGATGGAAAATTACTGATGCTTAAAGTCAACCATCTTGAGACACTATAAACAGCAGTACCAAAGAAGGCCCTTTGTGAAACTCAACCTTTGCTTGCTGAGAAATCATTTTGTTTGAAGTGAGTATTTCGATGAACTCAAGGGGAATTTTTATGATTGCATGTGTGTGTGAATCAATTAAAAACATAATATTCTGTTACTGTGACTGTAATAGCAAATTCTTTCTAATTGCTCTGTAAATGCTGAGTTAACCAGTGATTAACAGCTGCTAAATCCCTGTGATTCTTTCGCTCCTCAGACTGTGAACACACCATGAATTGCTGCTAAACGTATCCCTTAGACATAAACCATTGTGGTCTAAGGCCGGGTCTAGATCCAGCCGCACCCAGGCTCCTCTCTGAGAAGGAGTTTAGAAAGCAAGGGGGTCCAGTCCGAACCTGGTGACTCAACGGGAGGCTCTCCCTTACCCCATACACTTTTCTTTGACTCTGTATAAATCATTTTCCACTCAAAACTCCCTTTGATTTTTGTATTCTATTCATTTGATAAGTAAGAGTAAACCTTGCCAATGAACTTTGTAAGATCACATTTTCTAAATTTTCAGTGAAATCTTTTCTTGCAAAACCTTTGAGTGATCATTTAAGTGACCTAACCACTCATTCGCGACAGCGGGGAGATGGCATGCTTTGGCAAATATTTGAACTGTATGAGCATTTAAATACACAACTGTGATCATCCAGACTAGTAAACAGTTGAGACTTCTCAGCAGTTTGATCCCTCCTGGACCTGCCTGTTGTTTACTAACAAATAAAATCTTAATCCGGACACACAAACCAATCCCACAAACTATGCTTGGCTGAAAACAAGTGCATGCTAGCGCCAACTCTTGCTTTCCAGCCAACTGATTGCAGTCACTGATCTTCTGCCTCTGCTCTTGCTTGGTGTTGGGTGGTTTTGTGTCATGTGTCCCCTGCCCCCCTCCTAAAATGTGGTACGATCTGCTAGCGCTGCATTCCCAGATGCTCGCTGTGGGCGCCCTGATGGGCATAGCAGCCGGGCAGGCTTACGCTGAGGCAGTGGCTCTCTGGGCTTCAGTGCCCTTGGCATGGTCCCAGCTCTCGGCTGCACCTCACCCAGCTGTGGAGAGGGCCTGACAGACTCCCTTCGCGTGCTGCTCGGAGGCAGCAGTAGGATATGGGCACCTCTGATACATGGCATTTGCACTTTGTACCAGGCATGGATAAGGCCTACAGCTCTCCCACCTTCAAGGAAGGAGGGGGGATAACATAGGAGTAAAACAAAAAGACTTAACGGTGAAAGAAAAAAGATGCAGATGGCTCTAAAGATGAAGAAATGACAAGGTCAGGCTCATAGAAGGAGAGAAGAACAACCGCAACCTTCCAGGAACCAGCATAAGCAAAAGCCGATTTCTTTTTATAACCCCTGAAATCGTCCAGCGCTGCTTCTTGCCTGCAGTCCTTACAGGGCTGGGGGATTTTTCCAGCTCTGTGGCACACTGGGATGTCATCCAGAACTGCTGAGCCCTTCTTGGCTTGTGGCAAGCTCAAGGAACCTGCAGGCTGGGTGAGGGCTATGACTTCACCTGACGAGACCTCCTGTGTCGCAGATCTGCTCTTTCTGCTCTTAGTGGCTGTGATAACAAGATTGCCTTTCCCCTCCTCCCTGCAAAGCAGGAGGAGTAGGAATGCCTATCGCATGGAATGAACACTGGGCTACCAGCCATCTCCTTTGGAGGCCACAGAGTGTGCTACACGTGCTCCCTGTCACTGGGATTTCAAGATCGTGGAGCAGGCATCGTGCCTGCGATGCAGCAGCAGGAAGGTCCCGGTAGGGAAGCCCCATGGCAGTGCCACCTTCGGCAGCCATCTCCTGTGCTCCTCGCTCCCCTGACGAATTTATACTGGCAGAAGAGCTCAGCTGACGCTCTCCGTGAAGGCTTCCCCCATGAATTCCCCCCTGCTTCACCTTTCAGCGAGCCCGGATTAGCCATTACAGAAAAGACAAAGCGGGAGTACTGTCCCGTGTAACTAGAGACCGAAGTTCAAAATGCTTGGCACTTCAGAAGGAGACCCGAGTTTGTGTTGTAACACGAGGCTTGTCGACACGCAGCTTGTTTTCATGCCTCCAAACCGTGCTGGCAAATGCCAAAGTCGGCGAGGAGCAGAGAGACTGGCTGGGGGGGGTGGGGGGGGGGGCACCTCCCGCCGCCCAGTTCCGTAAGCTGCTGGGTTGGCCTCGCAGCGCGCCGGGGCTGCGGGAGAGCCGCAAACGTGGCCGAGCCTTGTGAGAAGTGACAGTTGTGTTTGACTCTACCTACACACTCTCAATGAATTCTTCACATACTGTCAAATTTTAGACCTCTGGATCTTCTTTCCTTGTAAAAACGTCCGAAAGAAACAGAGCTGCTCTGGCACTTTTATTCGTGGATGTTTGTTTTCTGTGTTGGCAGTCAGTAACGGTTGGCTCACCGGGGATCAGAGTTGGAACCCTGCTCCTTGTTGTACGACACCACGGAGGGGGCGGGAAGGGAAAATGGAAGTTAATGAATTAATGCCAGGCAAGCCT